ATTACCAAAAAAAACAAGTTAACAAGGAATCACAAAAATAACAATGTAAAAAAAAACTAACAATTAATAACTATAAAAAAACAAGCTAACAATTAATGACTAGCAAAAAATAACAGTTAATAACTATTAAAAACAAAACTATTAAGCGATGGGAGGGATAGAAAGCGAAATAAGAAGTGCAGAAGTCGAAACAGCTAATTAATTCCTTTATTAGCATGTTTTTGTAGAACATATTTTATTTCACATTCAAAATTATGATCATAAACTATTTTATACAGTGTATTATTGATAAGTAAACAACTTTTAAACTTATTTTTTTCTTCACGTGCCGTCAAATTACGAAATTGTTAAAAGTGCAGCAACGAAAAAAGTGGAGAATCACTGTTTTAGTGGCATTGTTAGAAACTAGTCTTTCTTTTATTATCTTGTTTCTCCTTTTTCTGGCAAAGCATTTAGAAGATTCTTTTTCTTCAATCGCTAATTATTTAATCGCAGTTAGTTTAACATTTGTTCAAATTATTAGCTGAATTTCATTTTTGAGAAAGTTGAGACATTGAAGTTGCAAGCTACGAAAATTGCTCACAATGTTTTAGAATTTTTTTCAGAGGAATCCCTTAAACTGCTGACACAACAATCGAGAAGAGCCTCTGGCGCAACTATATCCTAAAAAAGATTAAAAGGGAAATCTCCCATCAGGAATAGCCCTTAACTTGCATAGACAAAAAAAATGTAAGAAAAAGAATAATGTTAATGAACTCTCTATCTGTAGTGTAAATGCTTTATCTGCATTATACAGCAGCATGGAAATAAGATTAAGTTTTACAAAACAAATATTATAATAAAAAAAAAATTTCAAAATGCAAATTTGAAATTACTTTTTGTTAATACAAATGTCAAACTAATAATTATGATTAGTGTTAATTCAGAACCCGCGCTAAATAGTTTAAATTATTAATCAGTAAATTAGCCACGCATCAAAATTCTTAGCTTAAAAATTTTTTATGATTGATTTTTTTCCCTTTGAAAACAAATCAAAACACAAATTGAATCATTGTATGAAATGCAAATTCAAATCAAGTGTAATTTTGTAGTTGGGGTTGAAGAATGTAGATGTTTTATATAGTCTGAGGAAAAGGCAGGGGTAAATATTTGAGTAACATATTAGATTACAGCAGTAATATGATGACAAACCTGAAGCCATATTATATTATTGTCACATGAAAACATATTTTCAGCAAAAATAAACTCCACTAAACACCACGAAGGAATCGTCATAATTGAATGAAATTTAATACACAGTTGAGTGGTAATGATACAAATAAATGATTAAACTTTCGAAGCAAACAAACAATAACAAGAGATCGAAATCAGTATTTTGCGTAGCCACCACACTCAGCAATAAGTGCTGCTACATAGAGTCAAGCAAACTTTGAATGTCTGTCTGAGGAAGAGAATTCCATACTGTTTGTATGCGTACCCAAAGTTCGTCTGTAGAAGCAACAGGACGAGGATTACGAGCGAGACGCCGACCAACGAAATCCCACACGTGTTCAACCGGCGACATATCCGGGGAATACGTCGGCCAAGGAAGAAGTTGTACCTGTCGCGATGCAAGGAAGGATTGAACAGTCCTAGCAATATGAGGGCGGGCATTTTCGTGTTGAAATACCGCACCTGGCAAGGCTTGAAGGAAGGGAACAGCTTGGGGCTGTAGAACTTCACTGATGTACCGGTTGTTGTTCAGATTACCCATAATTCGTAGCAATTGAGATCGTCCATGATATGCTATAGCACCCCAGACCATAACTCGGGGTTTCGTCCACTGTGGCATTCGATAACGCACTCTGGAAGATGGTGTTCACCGGCATAGCACAAATTGAAGCGAGATTCGCCAGGAAACACGACACACTGCCAATCAGCACGCCAGTCCCTATGCTGGTTGGCCCATTGCAGCCGCAGGTTTAGCGTGAGGGGGATCCTGTATAAAGGAGTCCTTGCTTGCAGTTGACGCTGCAGCAGACGTTTACGAATTGATAAAGAACACAATGAAACACCTGTAGCTATTGACCACCGTGCTGCCAGTTGTCCAGAGGGAGCCGTACGGTCCGTTAGCGAAACGCCGAACAGGTGTCTATCATTGCGAGCTGGCACGACATTTCGGGGTCCACTCTCAGATTTCCAAGTTGTCCGACACTCGTCCATCCACTGCTTTCAAACACGCATCACTGTACTGCTGTTACGCTGCACACGAGTGGCTACTGCACGATAAGATAATCCAGCTTCACAAAGGCCAATGATTCTCCCCCGTTTAAACTCCGTAAGTTGTTGAAATCTCGCTCTCTTTCGTCAAATAGGCATAAGTAATGACTAAGCTGACGTTTACCACTAGCAGATAACCACCGATAACCATATACGCCTGGCTACAGCCGTCTATTTATTCGGATCCATCCGCCATTCAGAGAGCTGCTCAGCATACGCATGCGCTACGGGTCTGAAACTCTAATCATTTGCATATCATGCTCTACTCTGCATTTCCTGAAAATTTCAGCTCACTCGCGTAAGTCCTTCACGGTGTTGCAATTTTCACAAACATGAGTTTAGTAGGATGATAATATGCACCTAGCTACCCGTCAACAAAATGTCTCTCTAACGAAATGACCCTCTTGAAGAAATGACTAGACAATGAAATAACACTTGCCCATGTTATTAGAATAAAAAAATATTACATATTAGTTTCAAAAAAATTATATACATTTTTATTTTATCAAAATAAAAATTATATACAATTTTATTTTATCCAAATAGGTTATTATTAAACAGAAAATTTCTGCTACTTTAAACTAGTAACAGGTATATTCGTAATTAAAAGTATCTTGCAGAAAATCATTAGTGCCCGAGAGATTTGTCGGAGAATGCCCACAAAAATTCTGCTACAGGGCTTACGTTTAAAGAAAAATATTACGAGTTGCAAATGTCATATCAGAGGTTTAAGGACTCACATTATCTTTGCAACAATTTTTTTTAAACAAAGGTATAATCATTCATTTTGTGGATGTTTTACATGCTCACTTAACTTATAATCAATAATTTATCATCAAAAAGTAAATAAAATGTTTAATTTTCTTTTAAAAGTTGAAAAATTCAAAATTTTTAAATCCATAATGCTTTTTTATTTCAAGATATTTAAAAAAAAAAAAAATTTCTTAGTGTTTACAATATTCATCTTAACAATTTTGTGCATTCATTTGTTGATATATCAATTAGAATATTTTTGATAGATTATATTTTGTAAAAATGTAGGGAAAAAAAGGTTAAAATTGTAATACCTCATAAAATGCTTATTCCGTGCACAGTTTAAATAAGTGTATTATACTTAAGATAAAAAAGTTTATCTTAAATAGAAAAAATTCCTTAGGGATTTAATTAAGATTAAAACACAAAATTGTCATCCATGAGAAAAAGCACTCTAAAGTCTGTCTGCTGTGCAAGTTTCTATGTTAGGACAATCTAAAATCATTCATAACTTTTTTAAAAATGTAGATAAAGAGATGAATTTTTTTTTAGTGCATTTGAACTGGTTTTAAGTTTTAATAAGCAATAAAAAAAATTTTGATACTAGTCATTTGTTGGGTACTGTGTTTTTTACTTAATAATAAAATTATATAAATATATAATATAAATATAATAAATTATATATAATAAATTATATAATATAAATATAAAATTATTTGTTTTATTACTTAAATAATAAAATTATAATAAGTTTCTTGCCTAAAATTTCAGGGATTCATTTCACCCATAATTTCCACTTCAGTCAGACTTAGGATGACAATAGTTCAGTGTTAACACTAGGCATATACAATTTTGATAAAATTCTTGTCTGCATGTGTTGTTCCAATCTATTTTTTTAGTTAAGATGATGAAATGTATATAGGATTCGTTTGAGTTTAGCTATTTTATTAAAACTTCAGTCATCTTGTAGCTATAAATGAAAAAAAAATTCAATAACAGGGTTGCCACTCAAATCTGGAGAAAAAAAATTCCCTGTGTTTACCCTGTACATATTATACGCAATATATTAAGAGGAACACAACAATTACTGTGCTCTTGTTGTAAGTTATATTGGGCTAACTACATTTATTAGTTTTAATTGCTGGAAAAACAGCCGAACATACATTAAATAATGCTATAGTGAACGAAATAGTTTAGTATAGCTTATGGAGGAACAACCTTCGGCCCGTTGGTCGTATGCGGCCCACAGTAGCAACCTGAACAAAATGGAAAAAGATAAATCAGAAATTTGAAATCGTACATTTTGCCCATGATTAACGCTTTTCGATCGATCATAGCTCAATCGCTTTTTATCGATGGCTTAATTTTATGCAAACATATTACAATGTTAACTGATAAAAAGAATTTAGTACTTAGTGAAATGATGATTATATAACAATAACTACCCACAATTACTCTCTTAATACTTTGGTATATGGCCCGTTGTTGGTCAATCTGCTGTGCATGTGGCCCTTCAAAAAGGTTGTACACCCCTAGTATAGCTGAAATATCAGGGTCAAATAACCCATAGATTACGCTTTGAGTGGTCACCATTTTTAAAAAGACAAAAATGAGAAACAAAATTCCCTGTATTTTCCCAGTTTATTAAGAAGAAATCAAAATTCCCTGTCTTTTCGAGGTTTTCCCTGTTCTCCTTGTGGAGTGGCAACTTTGAATAAACAAGAAAGTTTGTAGATAATTTTTTTACAAAAATTAAAATGTTTACTCTTGTTACGAAATTAAATTTAATTAAAATTAAATCAGACAATAAAATTAGATGAATTAGTGCTCATTTCCGAAATACTAATATGCTGATAGAATTTTAAATCATATTCCCCATCCTATAAAGCGGCTGAATAGAAAGCATGTTTTGTGTGTTTTATTACATTGATTGTGTTGCAACGATAATAAACAATTGTCAATAATATTTGTATAGTGAAAAACCTTACCTTTTGAATAAACTTTTCAACACTTTGAACAATATGCTTGTAAAACTTAATACCTTTAATAGCACTTTTAGTTATTTGTGTCATTTTGGCTTTGGATATAGGAGGTTTCACTTCATATAAAGATGAGAGCTGAAAGAAGAAGGAAACAATTATTGATCTATCTATTAAAGCTTTAAAACATTGACAAAATAATTTTTGATAAGTACAGTTTGTTTACAGTAAGAACTCCCCCCCCTCCCTAGCCACAAAGTTTGAGGTCAACTGCTGCTTACCAGGGGTCTGTCTAGATTATTCTGAGAGGTATTTATTTTCTGAAAATTTAGACATAATTTGTGAAAATTTAAAATTATATTAAAAAATCAACAGGGATCCCACTGAATTTTTTTTTTAAATTCAAGGACTTTTCAATGACATTCAAAGACATTTTAATGAGAGTTGTGAGTGGTAATTCTTAAATCTCTCTTTTGTGAATCGCAATGCGCGATTTGTTAACTACTAGAATAAGAATTGTGAGGCATGATTCTGAAATTACTTAAATAAGTATCACGTTATATGATTCAGAAACAAACTTAATGTGAATCATGATGTGTAATTAATAAAATACCTTAATTAGAATCCTGATGAGTAATTTGCAAATTACTTTAAAGTAATATTCGATATGTGATTCAGCAAAATTTTTATTTACCTTGTAAAATTTGGATTTCTTATCAAGCAGATTCCAGGTACATTTAAGCAAAAAAATATAAAAATTATCTAATTTTCTATAGAACAAATATTTTAAAAAAAACAGTTTTAAGGAAATTTCTAGCATTAATAAATAGACAAAAATGAGCTTTTTATTGTTTAAACTAAATAAAAAAAAGCTCATAACAGAAATTAAATATGATATAACTAATAGTGAACAATAAATTAATACTTCATTTAATTCACTTAAATAGCATATTGTATAATTTGTTCACCAAGAGTCGGCACTCGGCTCCACCTCCTCGGACAAAGGGCTCATTTCAGAGCAAGAGGAGAAAGGTCCCCGCGTTTAAAATACAGACAAACCTTAATGCACGCCAAACGCAAACATTTCATTCTTTTTTAGTCACTTACTTCGCTTTATCATCTATTATACCTTTTGTTAAATTAAAATTTGGTGGCACACAAAAGTGCCTTAGCACAGTGGTTTAGAATCACTGTTCGAGATCAAACAATAAACAAGGGGCAACTTTGCTTTCATGTAAAATTATTTCTGTGAAACCAATGGCATAATTTACCTTACACGAAGAAGAAAAAATAAATATTGAGAAAAAAACTTGAATAGTAAGAAAACTTTCAAGCAGATGATTGGAAATTAAATACATTGAGCAAATTAGAAAGAAATATGTTTCTTAAAATTCCAGTTGACTAATTTTATTTCAATATCATCAGGAGGGGAAAAGTGGGGGTACATTGGGAAAAATGTAAATTCATAAATGTTTGGTGAAAAAATTTTAAATTCTAGACACCAAAAATTTCCCTTTATTGTACTAAAAATTATTTAGAAAACATGAATTTAATATGAAGAAAAAAATTCATTTACTGTTCATAATTATATACAAAATTCCTTCATTTCTAAGGAAATCTAAACATACTGTAAGAAAATATTATTAAATATCATAAAATATTTATATATCAGATTATAAAATATTAATATCAGACTATCATGAAATATAATTATATCAGAATATCATAAAATATTAATATATCAAATTATCATAAAATATTAATATATCAGATTATCATAAAATACCAATATATTAATTATTCATTTGGCAATTTAATTGAGATGACAACCAAAGAATCTTCATTCATTAAAAAATCACATTTGTTTTGAAATTATTAAAAAAAACAGCATTTCATAAAAATTAATTTTTTTAAGATTAAATGACTAGTTTTTTAATGTTTCTTGTGGATTATATAAGGGTAAAACCTAATTTAAAAATTACATAAAAGAGTTGAAGTAACTACTCTGGCAGAATTTTTCGGGCTTTCTGCAACAAACTTCCCTAGCAATAATATTTTGATTTCAGATACCTTTAATTATAACAGTTACTAATTACAGTTACTAGTTAATGGTAACAGAAACGTTATGTTTACAGAAGAAAGTATAGAATAAAAATGTATAAAAATTTTTAATTATAAAATTAATATTTTTCTAATTCTAATATTATATGCAATATTCTTGCATTTTATAGGCGGAAAAAAAGCATGAATTATTTCCTCTCTTGAATTTCGTAAATCATTACACAAATTAAAATTCATAAATAAAATAAACGATAGTAAATTAAAATTTGTAAATAAATTAAACGATAGTAAATTAAAATTCGTACATAAATTAAAAATAGTCAGAGCTCATTCTAGGCAGGGTAAACAGGGCGCAGCACCCTGCTGCCCTTTTAGTCAAAAGAATCCACCCTGTTGCCCCTGAAGTAAATTAGTGCCCTGATGTAATAGACTCCATACCCTTTATGTCCTAAACCCTTTATTTTTAACCCAAACTCTACAATGGATTTCTTAAACTTTTGTTGTTTTTAACTCTTTTTATTTATTTTGTCATTGCTGTCAATACATAGATTTACATGGAGAAAGAAAAATAGCACTTGTTGACCCTTGTTGCACTTGTCTTTGAAAGTTTGCAGTTACTTCCACTATAATTAAATCATAATTATTTTTAATCATTTTAATTATTAAATCATAACTACAGACACTCAAAAACATACATTTATTATTTTATTAATATATGCATGCATTTTAAATAAATTACTACGCTAATTAGCTCATTAACTTGATATATATGTTTATTAATAAAAATTAGTAATTAATATGATTGCTTTGCTACTTTTAGTTAAGCTTTAAAAAGATTCTTTTATTAATTGACAATGTTCTTTAATAGAGCGTGTAAAGTCCATAGGAAGAAATTATTGCCTTTTTAGAATAATAATGCCCTTTTTTTAAACTTTTGCACCCTGCCCTTTTTTCTGCCTAGAATGAGCTCTGAAAATAGTGAAATCCGCACAGTAACTTCCAAAATAAAGATCAGGAATCATGTGAATGGGACACTTTAAAAAAAAAAGAGATACTCAAATAAGTGTATGCAATATATGTAGTTCTTTAACGAAAAAAAATGAAAGAAAGAACATCATTTCTAGAGCAAACTATCTCTTAAGCCTTCGCGATTTCTGAATTTTTTTATTTTAGATTACTATTTTGAAATTCTAGCTGAAGTAAGTCATTACAGATTTTTTTTTTTTAAAAAAATCTCAAATGAGAATAGAAAAAACATGCTTAGTTCTTTCCTCTCTGATGCACAAGAAAGAAATCTTTGAAAAAAATTCTGCAGAAAATAAAATCATTTTTGGAGAAATTATGTAGAAAGGAATACCTAAATTTTTCTTTTCTCAAATCAAAAATATTTCTGCAAAAACTATAAGGTTCTGTGACAATGTCGCCACAACTCTGCCACGGGGGAAGTAACATAATCACATTTTTTTGATAGTAATATTAAAATCAGAAAAACATACAGAAATTTCACCTGATAATTGGTATATATATATATATATATATAGATAGATAGATAGATAGATAGATAAAATAAAATTTAACCTGATATTTTATACATATACCAATGATTCACTATTGGCATATGTATAAAATAAAACTAAATTTATAAAAACATTAAAGTTACTATGTTTATATATTTTAAAGAATTAAAATAGACTAGCAAAGTATTTTTATTCATTTGAAAAATGGCCACTGCAATGATGATGACTGCCATGGGAAGTAACATAATCACATTTTTTTATGGTAACATAAAATCAGAAAAATATTCAGAAATTTCACCTGATAATTGGTATATATATATATATAGATAAAATAAAATTTAACCTGATATTTTATACATATACCAATGATTCACTATTGGCATATGTATAAAATAAAACTAAATTGATAAAAACATTAAAGTTACTATGTTTATATATTTAAAAGAATTAAAATAGACTAGCAAAGTATTTTTATTCATTTGAAAAATGGCCACTGCAATGATGATGACTGCCATGGGAAGTAACATAATCACATTTTTTTATGGTAACATAAAATCAGAAAAATATTCAGAAATTTCACCTGATAATTGGTATATATATAGAGAGATAAAATAAAATTTAACCTGATATATTATACATATATAAATGATTCACTATTGGCATATGTATAAAATAAAACTAAATTGATAAAAACATTAAAGTTAGTATGTTTATATATTTTAAAGAATTAAAATAGACTAGCAAAGTATTTTTATTTATTTGAAAATTGTCCCCTGCAATGATGCAAAAACAAAACTAAACTGATTGAAAAAAAAGTAAAACACATATTTTTAATTAATCTTTCAAGGTGAAAATCATGAAACTTAATGGTATAAATTATGGCATTCCTTTCTCAAAGCAAATTCTACAAAAGTAGCATGAAGAGAGGGAGATTTCTGTATCGTGCTCTGTGGCAAAATAATCTCAAAGTCTTGGCAACTCTCAGGCAGTGACCCGCGAGAAATTAAAAAAAAAACATCCCAGAAAGGGATCTATTTAAAAGGTAAACTCATAGTCACCTGGGGCAAACATCTACATACGTTTTTTAAATAAATTTGCAAGTTTATAATCTATTTGGCACCTTGGCGATTGCAATTGGCGCGACAGATCACGATACGTAAATACCCAGACAAAATCTGTATGCCTAAGCAGATATCAAACACCACACTTCTTTTTATTTTTTGATTGGCTGAATATAGTGTTTTAATATGGCTCTTTATATTTACTGTATATTCGGGTACTAATTGTTCAATTTAACAAAGTTGTTATTATAACGATTTATATTTTATTTTGGTACTTCCCGATTAACCGAGTACAAGCGAAAGGTCGCCAGAAAAATATAGAGCTCCACCAACTTTTCTTGTCATTAAAAAAAATAAAAAATACAACTGAATTTTTCGCCCCGACAAACAAAAATAAAAACATTCCTTTATTGACATTAAAAAAAAATCGTTGCAATTCTTTGTACCCGACCAACTATTAAGTACATTTAACTTTTATCTTGAATCAATAAATACATTAGAGATTCTATAAACTTTTGCATTTTAAATGTTGAAAAAATTAATAATTCCTAATGGTAAGGCATGAAACTACTGAAATAAGTAAAAATTAGCAACATAAAAAGTAAGAGAGCAGGAATGAATACTTTGTTTCAGTATATATATACTTATATCGGAAAAATGTTAGCATATATAACAACAAAGCACTACAGACACAAAACACACAATATAGACCCTACCTCATTATTAAATATCCGAACAACCTCCATTTTCTTATTTAAAAGTTACAAATTTTATGAAAATACAGTAATATTTATGATTTTATCTTTAAAACAGTCAGACAAAATGGCGTCTGAACCAAAATAATCTGCTGAAGAGAAATATACAAAAATATGTTATTAAAACTGTAAACCGCAGCAATCATAAGATTATGATTAAAATTATGATATGAATAAATAGTTTTGCAAACAAATTTTTAATGCTGCTTAGCAGCCGCTGTTGAAAATATATATTATGCTTATGTATTTATATTATGCTTACTGGATTTAGCTACTACAGCCTTTTTTTGGCTACTTTGATGTTGTTGTTGTTCTAGTTCATTTACGTCGCACTAGAGCTGCACAATGGGCTATTGGCGAAGGTCTGGGAAACATCCCTGAGGATGATCCGAAGGCATGCCATCACAATTTCGATCCTCTGCAGAGGGGATGGCACCCCCGCTTCGGTAGTCCGACGAAATGCACGCGAAGTCGAGCACTTTACGGTAGAAGAGTTTAAAGAGGACCAATACCGCACACCCTCGGTCCCTACGTAAACTGATCCAAGTGGTCACCCACCCGCACACTGACCGCAGTCAGTGATGCTTGACATCGGTGATTTGTTGGGAGCCGTACCTTAACGATCAGTTCACTGCGGGACTGGCTACTTTGAATTATCTTTGGAATTCACAAATTTCCGTCGTATTTTCACCCATTCGACATTTACATGCTGTAGAAAAGACAGGCTTTCTTCATTTTCGTGGCATGTGGTCAATGCCGGCGGAAGACACTTTTATGTCTCGAGTGATACTGAAAACGACACCCATAACTCAATTTTGAAAAAGTTATCTTTAAAAAATAAACCTTTGAATTGCCTCCCTGGTGTAATCATAACGCTGTATTTTTACATTGCAAATTACAATCTTACTAAAAGAAAATTATAAAATCTAAATAAAAAAAGAATGTTGATTTAAAAAACACATGATGAAAATAAACACTCTACGATTTCAAGCTTAAAAAAACCCATCCATTAGATTAATGAGAATATTAGCTCGAGTATTCGAATACAACTATCTATTTAAAGTAATATTTTTAATAAACGTAATCTTTTATGTTGTTGTTGTTAATTTACGTCGCACTAGAGCTGCACAATGGGCTATTGGCGACGGTCTGGGAAACATCCCGGAAGATGATCCGAAGACATGCCATCACAATTTTGATCCTCTGCGGAGGGGATGGCACCCCCGCTTCGGTAGCCCGACGACTTGCGTGTGAAGTCGAGCACTTTACGGTAGCACAGTTTAACGAGGACCTATACCACACACCCTCGGTCCCTACGCAGACAGTTCCAAGTGGTCACCCACCCGCACACTGACCGTAGCCAATGATGCCTGACTTCGGTGATCTGGTGGGAACCGTGACTTAACGATCAGTCCACTGCCGGACTAGTCTTTTATGACATAGAAATATATTAAAATGAAGATTAAAATACATTTCTTCGTGAATTAGCTTCGCGAATCTCTAAAATCAATTGTTTCTGCTGTTTCATTTTCAATAGAAATTATTGCTAAAAGAGAGTGGACTTGAAAATGTTATAAATTATATCTGATTGGAGTACCGATAAAAAGCTAGTGGGTTGGAATATTGAAAAAAAAAAAAAAAAAAAGGAGTGAGAGTTGGTAAAAAAAATATCCAAAAGATAGTGTTCGAATAGTCGAATTGAGATAAAAAAAAGATTTAAAAAAAGTCTCAATTAAAATTTTAATTTTTCAAAAAATATTCTAATGATTTTGTTCCAAATTGCAAATTTTGCTATCTAAATTAGATATAAAAATTCAATTCATAAAATGTTCATTTACGTCGCACTGGAGCTGCACAATGGGCTATTGGCGACGGTCTGGGAAGCATCCCTGAGGATGATCCGAAGATATGCCATCACAATTTTGATCCTCTGCAGGGGGGATGGCACCCCCGCTTCGGTAGCCCGACGACCTGCACGCGAAGTCGAGCACTTTACGGTAGCACAGTTTAACGAGGACCTATACCGCACACCCTCGGTCCCTACGCAGACTTATCCAAGTGGCCACCCACCCGCACACTAAATGCAGCCAGTGATGCTTGACTTCGGTGAACCGGGTCTAAACGATCAGTCCACTGTGGGACAACATCAATAAATCAATAGAGACTTGCATTTTGCTAATTTTGATGTCTGTTTTTTTAAAGAAATAAGCAGTCGAAAACGTTAGGAATATATGTAAACAAACAATCAAAGTAATTAATTTCTTTAGTTGACCCTCAATTGGATTTTGGTATCCACAAGATAACTATTAAGATTGATTCACACTACTAATAAGTAATAAAAATGGTCATAAACACAACTGGGTTGAAAAAATTTGTTGCAATGCTCAATAAAAAATATTTTTCACATTTATTTGACTTTTTTGTGCTTTTAAAGTCTAGAAAGAGATAACATGTACGTAAGGTAGGATGACCAAGAAACTAACTCACAATAATTTATTTTATTTAATAATTCTTATGTTTTGTTTATATTTTTTGCAATATTTACGTGTTTTAAGAAACGCGTGCTTAAAATTCGCAATGTTTTTTTTTAAGGAAAGCAACTTTCTTAATAAAGTTTTTAAGCGAAAATAAACTTTAGCTGCTGCTTAAGATTACAAGCATTGTTATATATTAATTCTAAAATCTATAACCTTTTTGGGGAGAAATTGTTTTGTTTGTTTCGCCGTTAGAGATGCAATATTGAAACGTTTGTTGTAGATGTAGTTAAAAAAAATCACATGTATGTTTTTGATTCTAATGCCTTGAGAATATTTCTATTACGGTACCTGTGCGTATCAACAATCATGGCTTTTTAACTTGCAAAATTTTAAAAACAAACGTGTAGTGGTTTGTATATTTAAACTGCTTCAATAAGCATTCATAAAGAATTGTTGAAAAGATAAAAATCAGTTAATGAAAAACTTCAGTGAGATAGATAAAATATTAATCTTTGGAGAAAAAAAAAACACCTCCTGGAAGGCTTTGTTTTGATTTAAATTATAAATGTTTTCATTGGAAAAATTAATTTATTACCACTGTGCGAAAAGATTTATATTTGTTTATTTTTTGATGCAGTAGATTCTTAAAAGGAACTATAATCTCATAACTAACTAAACAAACATAACCAGCATAAAGCATTTTGCATGTTGAAATTTAACAATTGTCACTCTGTTATTACAGTGCAGAGAAGATTTTGTCAGCATTTGTAATGAGCTCAATTTGTAATAAACTCAAAGGAATGCTTTTGTAGTGAGCTTGCGTGTCGGTGACTGCACAAATGCTTCATAATGAAATGGACTACCGTCTCCAGATGTTTTCCGTGTGACCAATGGAAGTCACATAAAAAATCTGTGACGCATGTAAGAGTTGTAAGAAAATTAATGACTATGTCAACCTTCATCTATCAAAAGGTACCTCAAGATGGAATCGAGTGTCTTATATACTAGTGATTTGGTATTCAATATTTATAGTGGTAGTTATGCCACATTACTCTCCTTCCAGAATTTTATCTGGGATAGAATTCGATGAACGATTATCACTAGTTGATTCATGCTGTTAATATATTTATATCATTTTCGCTCATTATATGCTTTCTTCATTTTCTTATAGCATTTTTTTTTTGCTCAGTATTTTTTCTTATTTTTGTTTATAGCAATTCGCTCATTTTTTTATTCCTTCAGTATTGTTTATTGACCAAGAGACTTTTTATTTACTTCACCAGATTTTTTTCTTTGAGCATATATATTAAGCAAATCAACTGTTTTAATATGGACCAGTCATCATGTTGGCAAGTTCATATCATGTCCGCAGATCACCATTATGGGGATTTAATCATAGACTATGTCAACCTTTATCTATCAAAAGATACCTCGTGATAGAATCAAGTTAACATGTCTTATATACTAGTGAATTGGTATTTAATATATATATATAGTGGTAGTTATGCCATACAAAATGTTGAAGCTCCTTCTACATTCTGTGTAAATTCTTTTTCATTAAATAGTTATGGCCGTTTGTTATCGCTCTATTCATTTTGAATTACCCTGTATTTTAAAATTGAAATTATTGAATGCATTTCTTACCAGCCAGATATATAAGATTCAGATTCTCTCTCTCTAACATCTCTCATTTAAACTAATGAAGGATAAATAAATACCGAAAATAGTGTTAATAATAGGGTAGGGGAGAGTGGGGTCAATTGTAACATTTTTTACGTAACTATTTTTAACTAACAAAAAAATCCAATATATTTTTAGTATTAATTGACAGACAAGTAAAGTAGACTATCCTCTACTAGAAAGAAATAAATACCTTATTTTAAATGTTATTATATTAGTTTTTAACAATTTTTGACAGTCGTGCACTTGTTACAATTGTCCCCACTTAACAGTTCATAAATTCAACTGAAACATAGTTTTAACTAAACATATTATCATAGTTGTGATATATTGTTTTATTGATCAAAATAGTAGTGATATTTTAGGAGTAAAAATAATAATGAGCAGAGACATTGATTAAATTNGATGCCTTTTCAGTTTCATTTGTTGAAGAGAATGCTAGTTAATTAACAAAACTAATTTTTTTTTATTGAAATGTTAATTAAGGTGTCCACTTACATATCCGGTTAATAATTTTTATTTGTTTAAACAAAATTACTTTGTTACAATATAATATTCTAATACCAAAAAAAGTACTACTTACTAGTACTTGAAAATATCTTTTGTGATGTAACTCTTTCAAAAGTACATAAAAATGGTTGCCAGCAGGGATGTACATGCAGATTTATTAAATACACCTTGTGGGCCAACTAGGAACCAAATCTAGAACCAGGCACTCGAGATTTTTGCTCTGTTACAATTGACCCTACTCTCCCCTACACATTTTATTCTATCGTTAATAATGCAATTTCCAAAAATATGGTTTGAAATAATAACTTAAGAAAAAAAACTTATTTAAAATAAAAATACTCTTTTATAAACCGAAGGTTCTTTACACTACTCAGTATCGCTCACCCACTGCCAAATGCACTGAGCTTCTTATGCAGTTTATTTCAAATCACTTCGCTCGCTTTTTACCGCTTTTTAATACCCTAGAATCTATACTTTAATAAATTTTAAATTTTATATCAATTGTACTTGAGAATGTGCCCCCCTGCTCACTACCATGCATCAACCCTCGAAACTGCTTCTTTCTTTTTTGAGATCTGATTCCCCGGAACCGATCAAGACAAATTCAGGCCCAAGGCCCACCAAATTTTCCAGGCCCTTAACAAAATATTTTGAAATGAAATTTCTGGAGAGTAGTCCTAATAATGAAAAATAATCTATTGAACTGCAGGATTCAAGAGAAACATTCTAAGAAATTTTGAAAGCAGACAATTGAAGATTATTTTTTTCTAAGATAAAGTTTGCATATCTATAAATTAAAGCAAAATATAAAATGTTGTGTGAAGATAAAAACAGTTTGGTGACCTCAAACAAGTGAAATCAGTGATTTTTGATAAAAGTCACTTATTAGCTTTAAAGATTGTAGCCTTCTATCTATAGCTTTACATATTTGTTAAGAATAAGCTTTTAGTTCTTGTTAACACTAATAATTTATTATAAGAGACTTTGCGAATATGCATTCTTGTTGCATTTGTTTAAGCTGTTGGAGTAAAAATTGCACCAATTAAAATTCAGCCGTACTTTCGAATTTGATCAGTGCAATGTTTACACGAGTTTGGTTTATCACAATATAAGGAAAATTTGAAATAAAAAATGCCTTTTTTGAGAAAAACTTTTTTTTTCAGTATTTAAAAAAAATTAATTTTGTGGACTTTTTACTAATTTTTGAGGCCCCCCAGAAAGTGGGGGCCCTAGGCCCGTGTCTATTGGGCCTAGGCGATAATCAGGCCAGACTATTCCCAATACAGGGGATTAGTGTTTAAAAAAAATCAAGTTCTAGGATTGGTTTGATTATCGTTTATTAAAATTCGTTCGCTAATTGTTTCATAACTAATTAAAAATTTAAACAGTGTAACGTATAATTCTATCATTCTCTCGTTCTAAACTAAATTACGCAGTGCAATAGAAAAATATTTGACAATAAAATGACTCCAAAATGCATTTATTTATTTATTTCAATTTTAACAAATTACACGCAACAATTGCAACTTACATGCAATTATTACATTCAACATCGAAAGAAATTCGGAATGAAATTAAAAAGTCAAATCGTGAATGGAAACTGAAATCGAAATATTGTAATAGTTAAATTGACTCCGTTATTTTTTTTTAACACCTCTAAATACATTTAAGTTATCAAATTCAACTTAAAAGAAACTTTTGAATAATACATGCATGTTTTTTTTTTTTTTTTTTAAAAAAGGATACTCTGACGTCAGACACAGTCAAGATGAGGAGTAAATGGAGGCAAACTTTCGATGCCAGCTGAGTATAGTTTGTCTATGTGAAGAACTCCCTCAGTCATTCGTCTGGAGAGGTGGCGCTGACAATGGTAACAAGTTTTAACTATTTCAAGTAAGGGTCATCATTTTAGACAGGTTTTGGCTAGATTAAGGGGAGAGATAAGCTCCCCTGTTTGAAATACGCTATTTCTTGTTTCCATACCAGCAGAGGGGAGTTCCTTCGATAGACAAACTATACCCGTTTTTCGTACGGATAATCCATATAAATTAGTTTTGAATAACACTACAAAACTGTAAGACCGACACAAGTTAAAATAATTCAAATATTTCTTTTTATCATTATTATTATCATTGTTTATTGTTCGTTCCGATTTCTTTACGTTATTAGATTAACCGAAACATGCATGTAAGTTCCTCTCATCCCAAAAAATAAGGATTTACTGTATTTCGTTTTATCTGGCATATTGCTGTTGCTCGAAGTAACTTTTCAGAGGTCTGTCCAGATATTTAGTGGAAGGTCCGTTTTTGCAAAATTGTGAAAAAATGACTCGTTATTTGTGAATATAAAATAAACGTTAAGTCACGTTCTTTCAACCAGGATCCTGCTATTGTGAATTTGTGCAAATAGAGTTGTCATTGCAAAAAAACTTTTTCAAGGAGTTTTTAAATTGTAAAGACATACAAGATTATGCTCAACACTGTAAAATTATAATAAAAAGAAATTAAATTTTAAAAAATAAACACTAATTGCAGCTACTAAATTAGAGATGAAACACACATATATTTGGTATTTAGCATTCATTTCGAACGAATAAAGGAAGAAGAGTCTGTCGAAGACAAAACTTATTTCGTTTACATCTGTCTTTCTCCCCCCCCCCTACCTGTGAAGGGTTTATTCGATTAACAAAACAATAATGAAGATAAGCAAATTTGTGAAGGGTCCGATTATAAGATAAATTATTTTGTGAAGGGTCCGTTTTTATGAAAAGATATTTTGTGAACGGTCCGTTTTTATGAAAGATATTTTGTGAACGGTCCGTTAACGGACCCAAATTTCTTCTAAACAGACCCCTGCTTATGATGTTTAAAATGAACCATAATCAAACTGCTTTTTCCTGAACTTCCAGGGATAAAAAAGTAATGTACTTAGAACTCGATTTCTAAGGAACAATTTAACCGATTAAACTCAAATTTTGTTTTATAAGATTACATTTTTTGAAATGATGCAAAGATTTGTATGCCTTACAATTCAAAATTTTTTCTGCCATTTTTAAATAACATAATAAAAAATAATTTATTTAGTTTAAAATATTTAATAAAAGTTGTTTTTTTTCCCTCCAAGGGATTATTATCCGATAAATGAATTTTATAATTGTGTGTAAAACTTTTTAAATTCACCTGAAAAGTTCTATAGATATAGCAAAATATGCACACACAAAAAAAAAAACTTAACACTAAGGAGTCCGAACTAAGGAGCGCTTTCCTGACCAAACTATTGGGATCTTATTTCCCTGATTGCGGATGCCCCCTCCCCTATATTTTTGGGGGTCTGAGATCTGAATACGTTTTTGTGTCTGATTTCGTAACGTCAAATATCGTCTGCGCTTATTTTTTTTTTAGTATATTTGAGGTCACCCCCATTAAGAATGAGTCCTAAAAAGTGAAGATCCGATCCTATAAATCAAAAGTTATTCAAGTTGTTCTTTTTTTTAATGAAAGATATGTTGCGTTTAATTTCAAATGAGTTTTTGTTAAAGAAGAAGCTGAGATGATTCTCGGCATTTAAGAACATTTTCTCGCTATTTTAAAAATCAATATTTAAATTCTCTAATTAAATACTAAGAGGAACAGTCATTCTATTATATATATATATANTCTTCTCCCTTTATTAATCTTTTTATGTTAGTTTCTTTGCTATAAAACAACTCCTACTTTATTACTAATTAATTATTCAAATCGAAATACTTTCTCACACTTTTAAAAGCTACATCCTGTTTCTAAATCTATTTTTGGCCCAACTATGCATAAATTTAAATAAAGATCTTTTTTCCCTTTTAAGCCGTGGGAATCACTCGAGCAAGCTCATTAACCAATAGTAATTTCTACGATTTCCATCTATTCCCTAAATAGAGACATTTTCGGATTATTTGCAATATTTTTCCTACCAGAAAGACTGATCCTGAATGGAGTTAACATCACTTTTCGCTGGTCTTCCATAAGAACATGATCTAAATAAAATACATCTGATTTCATTAAAATCCTGTGTCTGTTTCCCTGCTCGGTCCGACTGCATCATTTTACGTATATATATACATAATGGTGAAAATACGACGGAAATTTGAGAATTCCAAAGATAATTCAAAGTAGCCAGTCCCGCAGTGGACTGATCGTAAAGACACGGTTCCCAGCTGATCACCGAAGTCAAGCATCACTGGCTGCGGTCAGTGTGCGGGTGGGTGACCACTTGGATCAGTCTGCGTAGGGACCGAGGGTGAGCGGTATGGGTCCTCGTTCAACTGCTCTACCGTAAAGTGCTCGACTTCGCATGCAGGTCGTTGGGCTACCGAAGAGGGGGTGCCACCCCCTCTGCAGAGGATCACAATTGTGATGGCATGTCTTCGGATCATCCTCAGAGATGCTTCCCAGACCGTCGCCAATAGCCCATTGTGCAGCTCCAGTAAATGAACTACAACAGACGATTTTCCTGACAGAATTTTGTAGTAACTATTAGATTGTTTTTTATATTTAAAAAATACGAAAACCTATGTGTTTTTACTTGCAATCAGACTGTGAGATAAAGAAAATATATAAGAAGAGAAAAGGTTTCATCTGTGCCTCTGAGGTGTTAATGATTTCTCTGTCGATGAGGGATCAGTGAAAGCTTCAAGCATTTCTGAACAATCCATATTTCAAACAAGATCAAATTAAATTTCAATATTGCGTATACAAGTGATTTTTATAAAGAAAAAAAAAAGAGTTTCCTTGTCTTCTGGATGGGGTCAAAATGACATGTCTACGGAGTTGAGCATTAGTTGTCGTAATACCTATGAAAATGGGTCGAATGTTCAACGACGGTTATAAAATAAAATTGTGGGGAGAGTTGAGCGACCATGTCAATCTTCATCTATGAAAAGTTACCCCAACATAGAATCGAGTTAACATGTCTTATATACCTACTAGGGAATTGGAATTGTATATTTGTAGTGGTAGATACACTACAGTACTTCCCCACCAGAATTATAGCTGTGATACAATTCGATTAACGCATACCACAAGTTGATTCATTGCTATTTTGTGAGAGGCACGGGAGAACTGTATTAAGATCACCGTACTTTTGCTGATTATGAGAGCTGTATTAAGTTAACAGTCGTGGTTGATTCGGTGTTTTCATAAGCACTCTTGTGTATGCAGGCCAAAGTTGAGTTTGATCGAGACTGAGTAGCATAGCAACAGCGTGAGGAGGACAATATCGCAGTCACAAGTAGCAAGGCAAGTGTTCAATGTGGACCATGCAACGAAGTTCAAATCGTAGTAAGCGTTTCTTCCAAGATAGGCTGGTTCACATCACGTCCGGGTCACCAATGTGGAGAGAGTTGAGCGACCATGTCAACCGTCATCTATGAAAAGGTACCCCACCTTAGAAGCGAGTTCACATGTCTTATATACTAGGGAATTGGAATTAAATATTTGTAGTGGTAGATACATTACAAAATAAAATAGTAAAAAGCGAAAATGAAATTACTGTAATGAAATCACTACTGACTATTTTAAGAAGTTTTTTTTCCATGACTTAAGTTTAAAAAAATACATTTAAAAAAATTTAAATAAATAAAAGTAATATGCACACTATCAAATGTTTTCAATAGGAAAAGAGGGTTTTCTTAAATAAAATGGACGAAGCTCTTTTTTTTTTATCTTGAATTTATGTGAGAATATATGGAATATATTCTCCCATATATTATATGAATATATATATAATATATGAATTTATGGGAGAATATATAATAGATGAATATATGGGATGTGAAACATACTTTGTTGTCGAGTGGACTAACACACGTGCAAGTTAAGAAACATAACGAATAATTACATTATATTTTGGGTTTATTTTCGAGTAAAAGATCTGTAGCGTATCTACCACTACAAAAATATAATTCCAATTCACTAGTATATAAGACATGTTAACACTATTCTATGGAGGGGTACCTATGGATTGTCCACATTGATCAGTTGACTTGCTACATGTGACTGCAACATTATCCACCTCCTCGCGCTGTTGCTTCTCAGTCTCGATCACGCACAGCGTACAACGAATACACTCAACTGCTAATGGCGACACTGGAGCAACCACAACCGTGAACTTAATACAGCTCTCAGGATCAGCACTAAAAAAAGTACGGTGATCTTAATACAGCTCTCAGTATCAGCACTAAAAAAAGTACGGTGATCTTAATACAGCTCTCCCGGCATCTCAGAAAACAGCAATGAATCAACTAGTGGTATCCCCTCATCGAATTCTGTCACAGATATAATTCTGGTGGGGGAGTACTGTAGCGTATCTACCACTACAAAAATGTAATTCCAATTCACAAGTATATAAGACATGTTAACTCGATAATATGGTGGGGCACCTTTTCATAGATGAAGGTTGACATTGTCGATAACTGCTATCCCCATATTGGTGACCTACGGACGTGATATGATCACGATTACTTCGATAAATGGTCGCCTCAGATCTTTTATATTATCTGTAAATTTATATATCCTAAAGATATATGCAAGTTCCTTTATTAATTAAAATAATGACAAAAAACTAAGGACAAAATCATAAGTGAAGAAACATCTTAAAAATGTTGATTCAAAATGTACGAGAAATCTCTCTTATTCTTGATTAGTCTTCAAAAAGAACAGAAAAAAAAAGAACTTTTCCACAAATTAAGAACAGCGTCTATTCTTGATATCGAATTTTCTTTCCAGGTTCAGGTAATAAGTTATATTTCTATGTATCTCATCGCCATCTGTTGACAATATGCGTCTCCACTCAGTAAGGAGCCACCATTATTCTTAATTGTAAATAACTGATGCCACC